ACAACCCCTTTGGATGTCAGTGTGGCAATTTCTCAGAAAATTAGGAAACAACCTTCCTCAAGACCCAGCAATACCACTTTTGGGTATATATCCAAAGGATGCTCAATCGTGCCACAAGGACATGTGCTCAACTATGTTCATAGCAGCATTGTTTGTCATAGTCAGAACCTGGAAATAACCTAAATGCCCCTCGATGGAAGAATGGATAAGGAAAATGTGGTACATTTACACAATGGAGTACTACACAGCAGAAAAATAATTTTGGATTTTACAGGCAAATGGATGGAGCTAGAGAACATTTTGAGTGAGGTAACCCAGACACAGAAAGACAATTATCACATGTACTCACTCATAGGTGGTTTTTAAACATAAAGCAAAGAAAGACAGCCTACAAACCACAATCCCAGAGAACTTAGACAACAATGCGGACACTAAGAGAGACTTACATAGATATACTCTACATGGGAAGTAGAAAGTATAAAAAGACAAGATCTCCTGAGTAAGTTGGGAGCATGGAGACCTTGGGGGAGGATGAAGGGGGAGGGGAAAGACAGGGAGGGGAGCAGAGAATCTGCCTGTCTCTGGAATGCTTGGACTAAAGGCTACACTTGGCTCAGTTCCTTATTATTTAGCCTTTCATAGTGACTGACCGTTTAATCTTCCCCTTTCCCTGGAAGTAGCTTATACTTTGTCCTGAGCAGAGCTCTCCTCCTCCCCCTTCCGCTCCTCCTCTCCTCGTCTTTCTCCGGTCCCGGTGTCTCCTCAGAGGTACCACTTGTCTGGACTGATGGCTACTTTTCTGTGCTGGCATTGCCAAGTAAATTCTGACCCTTGGTGGGCATGGGCTGTGACTGCTCTTGCAACACACCATGACAGGGCTCTCTCTGCTGCCCCCATTCCCTCTTTTTGTGTAATTCCAAAGGATTGAAGGCATAGAAGACGCATTGGAGGTTGAAGACAATTTGTGGGTGTCAATCCTCTCCTTCCACCACATGGTTCCCAAGGATCAAATCCGGTTCGTCGTCCATGGCAGCACATGCTTTACCTACCGACCTAGTTTTCTTTCTATTGCTGGAACAAAGACAGTGATCAAAAGCAGCTTGGAAAAGAAGGCTTTATTTATTTGGCTTACACAACCTGATCACAGTTCATTAAGGGAGACTAAAGCAAGCGGCCATGGAGGAATGCTGCCCACTGGCTTGCTCCCTGTGGCTTGCTCAGCCTGTTCTCTTGTACAACCCAAGGCTACCTGCTAAAGAGTAGCACCACCCACAGTGAGCCAGGTCCTTCATAATCAAGATTTCCTCCACAGACTTGCTTACAGGCCAATCTGATGGAGGCAGTCTTTCCCAGGTGACCCTAGCTGTGTCAAGTTAACTGAAAGCCAGCCAGCACACCCACTAAGCCATCCTGTGGCCCTCCCTGGTTGTCGAGAACTGATCCCTCCTGGGACTTCTTTCCAATATATATTATACATATAACATTTTTTAAAAATATTTATTTATTATGTACACAATATTCTGTCTGTGTATATGCCTGCAGGACAGAAGAGGGCACCAGACCCCATTACAGATGGTTGTGAGCCACCATGTGGTTGCTGGGAATTGAACTCAGGACCTTTGGAAGAGCAGGCAGTGTTCTTAACCTCTGAGCCATCTCTCAGCCCCTACATATAACATTTTATATAATATATATGTATATATATGTATATTATAAATATATATATAATATACACACACAGATTCATTAGGTTGACTCACACAATAAGTATCTACTAGGCAGTCCAACAATGACTGCAAACTGGAGAGGTTGAGCTGAGCATCTCGTAGCTGCCCAGTCTGAAACTGGGTGCCTTGTAGTCCCAATCTGGCCTTGGAAGCTGGATCCTGGAGAGTTGCTGGTCTGAAGTCCACAAAGCCAAAACTGTTGAAATAGGAGCAGCGGGGCTGCGTCCCCTACACCCCAGCTGCTTGGCTAGCTCATGCCCGAAATAACAACACACAAACTGTATTCATTTAAGAACTGCTTGGCCCATGAACTCGAGCCCTTACAGGCTAATTCTCACACCTGGACTACCCCATTTCTAATAATGTGTGTAAGCACCCCAAGGTGCGCTTACCGGGAAGATTCTAGCCTCCGTCCATGGTGTCTCTGCTCCAGAGAGCAGAGTTGTCGAGTCTCTCCGGGCGCAGAGCAGAGTCTGACCTCACTTCCTTTTCCGCCCAGAATTCTATTCTGTTTACTCCTCCCATCTATGTTCTAACCTATCAGGGCCAGCCAAGCAGTTTCTTTTATTGCTCAGCCAATGAAATCAACAGATTGATATGACACTCCCACATCACAAAACAGTTCCGTTCAGTGAAGGATAGTGGTGGCGGTCACAGTAGAAACAGAGTTGATGCATTTGCCAGCCAGGAGTAAAGCAGTCAGGCAAAAATAGCTGCGATCTCCCTTCAGGCTCTCATCCTCATGCTTTGGCTCATTTTCCCAACCCAGCTACATCGCTGCTTTTTAAAGGTAAAATATCCCCATTACTGCACTCCGTTGCCTGAGTGCAGTAATGAAAACAGTGACTTTTAAGACAACAATGTGTTGTACATTTATGAAATACCTATTGTGAAGTTTAAGTTTAGAGGCCAAGGATTTGCATTTCATCTGCTGTCTCAGAGCAGGGTGAGCAGAAAGTTTGCACTGGTGCTTGGGTGGTGGGGTGGAGCCAGAGGGTCTGGAGTGCGGGAAGAATTAAGTATACTGTTGGAATATGCATATGGTCACAGTGCCTCCCTTGGGGTTGGTAAGATTGAATATCATGGGTCTGTTTTTGTTTGTATTTTCTAGATTGTTTTTAACAAATGTAGTTTTTTGTAATTAGAAACATGGCAAAAGTTTATACATACATACAAACACACACATATGAAAATGAATGAAATTTATGCCTTGACAATGCTGAAGCATGCATGGGCAGCCCATATATGGCGGTTCTGCTGAAGTTGTCCATGTATTGGGTTTCATGGTCTAAGTTGATGAAGACGATACACACTTTTTTTTTTTCTTTTTTTTTTTTTTTTTTTTTTTTTTTGAGACAGGGCTTCTCTAGCTTTGGGGCCTGCCCTGGAACTAGCTCTGTAGACCAGGCTGGCCTCTAACTCATGGAGATCCACCTGCCTCTGCCTCCTGAGTGCTGGGATTAAAGGCGTGTGCCACCACTGCCCGGCCACACATATATATGTATGTGTATGTACACACACACACACATACACCTGGCATTTAGATTTTTAGTACTGAAGATTGAATTTTTTAGATTCACCTGTTTTATGTGTATGAATGTTTGGCCTGCATGTGTGCTTGTGCATCAGGCACTTGTCTGGTGCCCTTGGAGGTCAGAAGAGGGCATCGGATCCTCTGAAACTAGAGTTGCAGATGGTGAGCTGCCATGTGGGTGCTGGCAATCAAACCCACGCTCCCTGAAAGAGAAAAGTTCTCTAAGCTGCTGAACTCCCCAGCCTCTCATTTGCTTATTTTGATATTTTGGCACCTTCAGCTCACCTTAAAAAGTAAGCTTCTGGGGAAAGAGGAGGCAGCAGGAGGGTGCCAGGCTGGAGCAGGGAGGGGGGCAGTGGATGGGGACCCCTGCTCTGGAGGGCCGAGAAAGAGGTGCGCCCCGGCCCTGCTGACATTAGGTTGAGGCTCTGACTCCTGCCGCTCCTTTAAAGACACGGTTTTCTTCCTTTGCACAGGGGAACAGGATTTTATTAGTTGTGATCCAGGCATAGTGTTAGCATGGGAGCTGGTCCCTGTATGCACAGTCCTCACTAATCTTAGATATCGGGGCAGACATGGAATCACTCCCAGGACTGTAAACTTACAAAAAGACAGGAGAATCTAGCCCTCTTTCCATGCCCTTTGTTTTCAGTGCTGGGATAAAACCTGGGGTCTAGAGCGTGCTAAGTCAGTGCTCCACCACTAAGCTATACCGTCAGCTCCAGAAGCCCTTTCTAGAAGAAGCCCTAGCAGAGAGCTCCTCAAATACGGAACCATAATGGCCAGCACATGCAATGCTCACCCTCACCCAGGTCAGGGATTTCCTGACTCAAGAGTAAATGATCATTATTATGTGTATGTTTATAACGGCGGGGGTAGGGTGGGGTGGGACACATGTGTACCATGGCATAAGTCTGGAGGTCAGGGGGATAACTTTTGGGAGCCAACTCTCCTACCATCTTGGGTTCCAGGGATCATCAGGCTTGGGCAGCAAATATCTCTATCTGCTGAACCATGCCACTGGCCAAATTTTTAAATTAAATGTGCATGCATGTTTGTATTTATATGTGGGGGGGGGAGGTCCATGTAGAGGCCAAAGGACAACTAGAAGTTGGTTCTCTCCTCCTCCCATGTGGATCGTGGGGCTCAGACTCAGACCATCAGCCTGGGGCAGTCAGCTTTTACTCGCCAAAGCATCTCACCAGTCCTTCCTGGTTTGGGTTTTTATTCTCTTTTTTGAAAAAGCACAAGCTGAGAATTTCATAATGCCTATGTCTGTGTTTTGGACTGTTTGTGCCTTGTTTCACTTAAAAAAAAGAAAGCTCTATATCACAGGCTGTAGTCTCCAAGTGCTGAGATTGTGGCCAAGAGACATCATGACACCGCCTTCAAACTTGTTTGTGTGTTTGTTTTCCGTTTTAGTGCTGGGAATTCAGCCCAGGTTCTGCATGCTAGGAAAGTGTTCTCTACTGAGCCTCACCCATGACCCTTACAACACTTCAGGTTCCCATTTTTATTCTTCCGAAGCTTGCATTTCATAGAAGCCTTAGCAAGAGGTTGATGAGGCCAGACTCAGGCTTCTCCTTGCTGTCTTCTGGGAGCCATGGCAGTTTCTTCCCAGTCCCTGGGGGCGTAGGAGCTGTAGGAGCTGGGCATGGCTCTGCTGGATGTGAAGACCTGAAGCCCCATGAAGGCTTCCAGAAGACTGCTGTGCCTCATCCCCGAAGGGCTGTGGCAGCGTGGGGCACGCAGGCTGACAGAGGGCTGAGGGCACAGGGTGCTGTGAGGAAGGAAGTAGGGGGTTTAGGGTAGGAGGTGAGGCTTCTGGGCGGTGGGGAGTAGCTGCTGGGTCTGGGGCCTGTTGTGATGGCAGCTGCTCAGAAGAGCCGGAGCCCCTTCACTGGGCCACTTGTAGCTTGAGTAGTTGTGGCAATTTGAAAGAAAATGGCCCCCAAAGGGAGCAGTATTATTTGGAGGTGTGGCTTTGTTGGAAGAAGTATGTCACTGTGGAGGTGGGCTCTGAGGTCTCTATATGTTCAAGCCACACCCAATGTCTCACACTTCCTCTCTGCTGCTGATCAAGATGTAGGACTCTCAGCTCTAGCACCATGTCTGCCTTTACCTCACCCGTGTCGTACCACGATGATAATGGACTAAACTTCTGAAACTGTAAGCCACCCCATTAATTGTTTTTCTCTATCAGAGTTGCTGTGGTGTTGGTGCACGCCTTTATTCCCAGCACTCTAGAGGCAGAGGCAGGTGGATCTCTGTGAGTTCGAGGCCAGCCTGGTCTGCAAGAGCTAGTTCCCGGGGCAGACTTCAAAGCTACAGAGAAACCCTGTCTCGAAAGACCACAAAAACAGACAAACAAACAACAACAACAAAGAGTTGCTCTGGACATAGTGTCTCTTCACAGCAACAGAAACCTAAGACACTAGTGATATCTCAAGAGGGGACTGTGCATTTTGTCTGGGGGCCCACAGCCTGTTGATGGCAGGATTGGGACCAGAGCTCAGGTCACCTCACTCTTCCTGCTTCAGCAGGCAAGGCTGGAACCCTGGGAACCGGGGAAAAGACGACTCTCATCTTGGCAGCCTCCCTCGCTCCAGGTGCCCAGATGGACTTAATAGGGAAGGGCATATTAGACTGGTCCCTGAGAGACTTAGTGAGAGTGCCCCCTGCCCACAGGGACTGCCAGTGCAGTCGTGTGAACAGATGGTAAACCACACAGTGAGGGGCTAGCCTGGAGTACACTGTGACCCGGACCCAGATCACTATCAGGCAGGGTCCCTTGAGAGACCACTGTTGCCCTTCATCCCCCGGGTCATTTCCTGACTCTGGTGTTAGAGCCACTCCTGGCTTAGAAAACAGTGACCTGGAAAGTTATTGGCTGCAGAGAGGATGGAGTCAGGTGACCATGGTACTCTTGGCATCTGAGGGAGTGGGGACAGCTTAGACAGTGAAGCATGATTTCCCCTGAGGTCTAAGAAAGTTTGAGTTTAGCTCGAATATGTGATATCCTTAAGGTCAGGCAGTCCAGATATGAGGAGGCCGTGGATAGAAACTGTGGAGGACTGGATGGGGTGAGAAGGGCAAGGAGTGACAATAGGTCAAAAACCCAAAACAGCCAAACAAAAAAGCCTTTTCTTGATGGGGCCACTGGAGACCCTCAGAAGCCGGGAGCTGGGCCTGGGAGAGAGGTAGGGTAACACAGTCCACAGAAGGGGCAGGATTGGGGCTGGGACTTACCTGGAGACCGAGTTCTCAGAGGTGCGGGCTTTGGAAGCATTGCAGAGGACTGGCCAGGGCCTCACACACTCCCAGAGCCTGCCAGAGACAGCAGCGGGTATGGAGACAGCTCTCACTTCAGACCCGCTGCCTGGATACGACCTTCAGGACCTGTGGTGCCACTCTCCAAGACATGGCCTCTGGGACCCCCCCATCCTGAACTATAACCCCACCACCAGACACACACTGGCCACTGAACACAACCACAGCCCTCAGCTGTCTACCCCGCCGTCTGTTTGCTCCCCTTCCACCTTATTGTGTTAGGGTTTTTGCTGCTCTGTTCTGTGGGTGCAACTAGTGCTGGATTGCTGCACCTGGGCTGCCGGGCTTTAAGATATGGGGTTCCTAGGATCCTGAACCATGGGAGGTGGGGCTCCAGGAGCAGAGAGAAATCCCAGGACCAGCCAAAGGGGTGGGGGTACCTGGCAGGTGGTATGGGCATTCCGGCTCCTGGGCACCAGGACCAGCAGCTGGGGTGTGTGCCGTTCCACAAACTGCTCACACTGAGAAAAGACAGATAGACAATATGTAGGTCCCAGTCTATGGCAGGACTTCTCTGTTCTGTAGTCCTGGCCTTCTTACCTCCCCTGGCTACTCCATTCCTTCTGACGGTGGGCATGCGTCTGTCAGTGCCTGGCTGACCTTTCAGACTCTATCTAAGGACTGGAGAGATGGCTCAGTGGATGTGATACTTGTCCCCCTTTGGAGGACCTGACAGAGGGGCTCATAACCATCCTTAACTCCAGTTCCAGGTAATCTGCTGGCCTCTTGCAGCCTCTCTGGGCACCGCACATACATGGTGCCCATACATGTATAAACATGAAACACATACACATGAAAAAAAAAAAGACCCCACCTAAGCCTGATTGGCTGCAACAGGTTTCTGTGGGGAAGGCAGGGCCCTGGAGCTGGCTTCTGGGAAGAGATTCGTGGGCTTGCCTCACTCACATCAGTTCATGTTTGCCCAGCATGCATGAGGCCGTCAGTTTAAACTGCCTGGAGCACACAAAGCTGAGCATAGTGGTACACGCCTGAGGTCTCAGTACAAAGGAGGTGGAGGCAGGAGGATCAGAAGATCCTTCAGTGTCAGGTTAGGTTACACGAGACCCTCTTTCTTTTTTTCCGTTTATTTATTTAAGATTTCTGTCTTTTCCCCGCCACCGCCTCCCAATTCCCTCCCCCTCCCCCAATCAAGTCCCTCTCCCTCTTCAGCCCAAAGAGCAATCAGGGTTCCCTGCCCTGTGGGAAGTCCAAGGACCACCCACCTCCATCCAGGTCTAGTAAGGTGAGCATCCAAACTGCCCCCACAAAGCCAGTACGTGCAGTAGGATCAAAAACCCATTGCCATTGTTCTTGAGTTCTCAGTAGTCCTCATTGTTCGCTATGTTCAGCGAGTCCAGTTTTATCCTTCTAAAGGAAGTACTTTTCTACTTTGGTGAGGGAATTTATCGTAGGTTACAGAACCATAAATCTCAGTTCTTCTTTTAAAATGTCTTTTGCTTGTTTTGTGTTTTGAGGCAGGTTTCTCTGGGCAGCCCTAACTTCCCTGGAACCCATTCTGTAGACCAGGCTGGCTTCTAACGCAGAGATCTGCCTGCTTCTGCTTCCTGAGTGCTGGACTAAAGGCATGCACCATCGCCGCCTGGCTTTGAAATGTCTTAAAATTGTGTTTTATTTATTTATACGTGTGTGGGCACACGTGTTCTCAGAAGGACAGCTCACAGGAGTTGATTCTTCGCTTTCACCATAAGGATTTCAGGGATCAAACTTAGGTTGTCAGACTTGGAGGCAGTACCAGTGAGCCATCTCACTCAGTCCCCTCCCCCTTTCCTCTTGTTCTCTTCCCTTTCTATCTCCTTTTCCCAGACAAGGTCTCATGTAGCCCAGGCTGACCCTGAGCTCATTCTTTATATAGCTGAGGCTGGCTTTGAACTCCTGATTCTCCTTCGTCAGCTTTCCAAATGCTAGGATCACAGGCCCCCACTACCACACTCAGCTTCTAGCCCTCACGTACAGGTGGACTGCTCCCAGCTGAGTTACAGAGTGAGCAGGCAGGGACAGGGAGGATCCTGGGAGAAGGCTGAGTTCTTTTCCTGCTCCAGCTGGCCCTGGTTTTGCTCATTTTCCGTTGCCTATTAGACACTGTCAGATGCTGCCCACCATGGGGGTTGCATGTGGCCCACCAGGGACACAGGGTGGCAAGCACACTGGGGTGATACCAAGAAAGGACAGCGTGACCCTTTTCTACTGGGACTAATAGCACTTTGAACTTGGCCCATGAAGAAGGCCTGTTGATGGCTGGGATCCAGTCCAAGTCCTGGGTGTCTCCGGCTACAAAGCCTCTTCTGGTTCAGCCACAACCACGCGTAAGTCCTACTCGTGTGCCCACCCTGTACCTTTTGCCTGTCCAGCCAGAAGCGAAGGCAGGCCTGGCGCATTGTCTGCGGCATCGCCTCTTCACTTGCGTTCCAAGCCCTGGTGATCACGGCCTTGCAGAGGTGGCACTCAGTGTCTTGTAGCAGCCATTCTTCCACCGGGGAGTCCAAAGCCTGGAGGGCTAAAGGGAAAACAGTCAAAACTGTACTTCAGGGTGGGCGTGGTGGCACATACCTTGCCACGCCAGCACTTGAGGCTGAGGCAGGAGGATCACACCAAGCTTGAGGCCTGTCTCTGCTCTGTAGTGAGACTGTTTTAATCCTTTTCCCAAAGCTGACATACACAAGTGTTGGTTCTGGGGCTGGAGAGATGGTTCATTGGTTAAGAGTACTGGCTGCTCTTCCAGAGGACCTGGGTTCAATTCCCAGAGCCCACATGGTGGCGCACAACTGTCAGTTATTCCCATTATAGAGGATTCAGTTTCCTTTACGGCCTCTGTGGGAACCAGGCACACCCAGGGCATATAGATGTAGATGCTTGCAAAACACACATACCCATACAAATAAATATATAAATAGTTAAAAAAAAAAACAGTGTTGGTTCCTGTCCCCCACCTTGTCCATGTACCCTCCTCCTCTATATGTGCACTGTAGCTATAAGTCAGGAAGAGGACCAAAGGAGGAGGGGTGGGGGATGAGAGCAGACTTACCTGGGTCGATGACGTTCTCAGTGGCGCATCGGAGGACGAGGCCGCAGACTAGCTGGGGCACCACACGGCCCAGCAGTGCATCAAGTAGGAGGACTGTATAGCGCTCAGCCAGGCACTGGCAGATGCCCCCCACCACCAGGGGTACCACGTGGCACACCTGGGCCACAGCCACGGCCAGCACACCCTGGGGTGGAGGTGGAGAAAGGACAGCATGGGACCTTCCTCTGGCATATGAATGGGCACCCCAGGCACACCCCTTTCTCCCTTCTAGGAAGGCGAGGCGTGCTGTCCACAGGCCACTGAGCATCCGAGACAGCAGTGACTCAGGGGCGCACCTGGAGTCTTTGAGAGAGGCAGCAGTTGACACCAGACCCAGATCTGACTCCAATTGCTTTAGAGCCGCTTGAAAGGGGCAGCAAGGCCAAGGCTTCTGACAGCCTGGCCCAAAGCTAGAACTCCAAGCCCATTTCCTGAGCCAGGGCCACCCTACTTCCCCGTGGTCATCCATCAGGAAGACAGACAGTTCCTTTCATTGGGCCAGACAGGGTCTTTAAGAGCCCCTGGGAAAGCCACGCTTCTCCTACCTCTCGCCAACTTCAGACAACCTCTAAGCTGAAGGGCAGCAGAGGCCACAGATGTGTGGCTCTTTCCTTTATTCAGCCCATGTGACAAGCTAGCCCCAGTGCCAGGAGGTTGAGAAAGGAAGAGGGCTCAGTGTATGGACACCTCTGGAGTGTGCGGTACTTCAGAAATGGGGCACGCTGCTTAAGGCATCAACCCACACATCATCAACCCACACATGGCTCTCCTCCTGTTATGGTCACTGTATAAGTCAACAGTCACTGTAGTCAGTGAACAAGCTGTTCACTGGTGACCTGGGCTCCACCCTGGGCTACCTCCCTGGCCTTATCCTCTCTCTGGTCCCTGCTGTCTGGAGATGATGCTAAAATGGCTTCTGACCTTAGGAAGCCTCTCTGGGCCTGCTCCCCTTTCTGGAACACTTCAGCCCTGCATCCTCTGCCCAGCTCTCATCCTACCTGGCCATTCAGCAGTTTTCTGATCAAGTGAACACCCTTCCCTGACAACAGACCCCCCACTTTGCTGACTGTTCCCTCTCAGCTCTTCTGCCACTGTTTCCACCCGTCCACACCTTGTCTCTTCATGCTTTTTCTCGGTTCTTGATTCAGTCTTCCGCCGGTGATGCTCAGGCTGGTTTGACTGGTCGTTTGTTTGTTTATGCATGTGCATGTTCTTGTATATGTTCTTGTGTGTGCAGGCATGTGGAGGTCAGAGGTCAATGTAGTGTCTTCCTTAGTCAATCCCCACCTTATCGTTTTTTTAAAGATTTATTTTTATTTATATATATGTGTGTATCTGAGTATATGTATGCTACATATGTGCGGGTACCCATGGTGCCAGAAGAGGGCGTTGGATTCCCCAGATCAGGAGTTGCCTGACAGGGGTGTTGGGAACCCAGCTCAGCCCTCTGGAAAAGCAGCAAGTGCTCTTAACTGTTGAGCCATATCTCCAGCCCTTCTAACTTGTTTTTCGAGACAAGGTTCCTTACTAACCCTGGAGCTCACCCATTGGGCTACGCTGACTGGCCAGCAAGCTCCAGGGAGCTGCCCATTTCTGCCTCCCTGGTGCATAGATTTCCAAGCGTGCATTGCTATCCCCGACTTTTTATGGATGCTGAGGATCTGAACTCAGGTGCAGCCAGGATGTTTCTCACTGAGCCATCTTCCTAGCTCCCTGAGCTCCTTCCTTCTTGATGGATGTCTTTGGCTCATCAGGACCTTGCTTCTGCCTGGATCTTGTCTTAATTGTTACTTCTTCAGAGCCTCCCCTGGCCTAATTCCCATGATTTCATCTGCGTGACCCCTCAGCTCACGGGGTCTATAATCTGCACCTTCTTTCCACAACACAGGCTTCAGAAAGGTGGGGATGTGTGCCCTGCTGTGGATCTTTAGTGACTCCATTTGGGCAGTGTTTATAGGGCATGACCATTTGTGGGCAGGACAGCCCAGGGCTGATGAGGCCACTGGGAGAAGCCACCATGGGTTTGGAGCACAGAGGGATGGAGATTACTGGTGGACATTCAGATTTGGAGAAATTAATGCATTCTTTTACTACAGGGACCATCAGGGCTTCTCAGCCTTCAGATGGTGAGCTCCTGGAAGAGAAGGCTGACCCTGACAGACTCTCCTGTACCTGAGCCTTAGGTTCCTTGGGTATGGACAAGGCGTGGGTGTCTCCTCACCTACCTCCTCACAGCTTTCTTGGTGTGTGGAGGTGAGGGAAGGTGCAGCTATTAGGGACCCTCCTGAGCTCCGTGGGGTTCTGGGCACTGAGGCCTTACCTTGGGAATCACAGTTTGGACCCGCTTGATCAGAGTTCTGCAAAGCCAGCAGAAGGGCAGAGGGATGGGGAGCTGCTGCTCAGAGAGGTCCTGAGGAAGGAAGGGGTGAGGTGGGGTTAAGGTTGGTGCTTTCGGAGCCCTGCCGGTTTCACCTTGCCTTCTCTTCCTCCTACTTTAGGCTCTGCCTGGTGCTTTTTGTCTCTTTCCAGCTCTGCCCTTCTGGGTGCTCACGTGTCTCAGTGGCCACTTTAGCCTTCGGGATTTCCCACAAGCGGCTGTTGGCGGGTGAGGTGGGGAGGGTTGACTTACCTGTGTGTGAGGCCCAGGCCTTGCCAAGAGGGCCCCTGGCAGCGCAGGGAGGACCAGCTTGTTCAGCAGAGGATCTGGAATAGCATCTTGCATCCCTGAATCCTGTTCTAATTTAGCCTGTCCCAGTGGGCACAGGCCCACATGCTTGCAGATAGCCTTTGGGTTCTAGGGCACAGAAAGGTAAGGGCTGTTAGGATCAGGAGGGAACCCCTCACTGCCCAGGCTCTATTCAGGGACAAGGATCACAGTCTTTGAGCCTGAACTTTTGGGAAGCAGGCTGGGTGAGAGGCTCCATCTTAGGATTCCAGGGAAGGGGCAAAGATAGATGGGATGATGTAGGGCCGTGGGGCAGGTGTCTGGAAAAGTGTGAATGCGTGTGAGCATATGGTGTGAGAATAAATAAGAATAAGGGTGTGTGAGAGAGAGGGGATGGAGGGCATGTCTGGATGTCTGCAGTATGTTATTGAGCAGGTATACCTGATCTGGGTGTCTGGATGAAGGAACTGAGTTTCTTATAACTGTAGTGGGAAGTGTGTGTGTGTGTGTGTGTGTGTGTGTGTGTGTGTGTGTGTAGGTATGGATATGGGTGTTTGTGTATATGACTGTGTGGGTGCTGTGTATGTATCTGGTTGAATGTTCTCTCTCTATTTCCGTGTGTGTATGTGTGTTGGGGCCACTTATACAGGAAAGTGACCACTTAGGCACGTGAGCTGTGTGGCGGGTGTGGCAGGCAGGTCGGGGTCCTCACTATCTGGCTCTGGAAGTAGTCGATAACCAGGGGCAGGTAGACATCCAGCACTTTTCGACACCGGGGCACGAGCAGCTTCAAGGGGAGGATATCACATTCTTGTTCCAGGAACTTCCGGATTGTGTCCTGGGAGGGCAGAGAAGGGACGGATAACCTGGCTTTTGTGAGGTCTGCCCCACCAGAGTCTCCTGATGCAAGACCTCCACAATGGGTGTGTGTGGGCAAGTGTGTGTGTGAGTGCATGCAAGACCTCCACCGGAGCACACTGGGTGTGTGTGGGCAAGTGTGTGTGTGAGTGCATGCAAGACCTCCACCAGAGCACACTGGGTGTGTGTGGCCTCGGCTCACCAAGGCCAGAGGTGTCAGATCATCCTGGAGTGACTGCGGTCCTAAGCTGTCTGAGGTGGGTGCTGGGAACCGAACTCAGGTCTTCTAGAACATATGTACTCTTAGCCATGGAGCCATCTTTCCACCCCCTAAGCTCAGTTTTATGAACCTATCCTTGGGTGGATGAATCCACATGGAGGCCTCACCTCAGCCTAGAAACACCTTCTGGGGAGCTTGCTCCTTCTCCTCACTTTGCCCCTCATCCCTTGTCCCCCAAACTTCATCCAGGGTCTGGTTCCCATTACCTGGAAAATGTCTTCCTTGGTCATCTTTATGAGGAGGTGGACAATATCCTCACACTCTTGGCACAGGTCATTCTGGAAAAAGGGTCTCAAGTGGAGCAAAAGAGTTGAGGTGTGCTCCTAGCTCCAGGGAGCGTGACTTTCTCAGACACAGGCTGACAGATCCCTCTAAGGCATAAGTATCTGCCCCTCATCCAATCTCATACTGTTGTGTAGATTCTATCCCATTCCATTTGGTCCATCTCATTTTATCCCATCTTCTCTGTTGCGTCCCATCCCATCCATCCAGTTCCATCCTATCCTACCCCTTCCCATCCCGTCCATCCCATCCTATTCCATCCCACCCACCCCATCCCATCCCATCCCATCCCATCTATCCTATTCCATCCCATCCTATTCATTCCACCAATCTTATCCCATCTACCCCATCCCATCCCACCAATCCTATCCCATCCATCCCATCCCATCCATCCCATCCCATCCATCTCACCCCATCCATCCCATCCTATCCCATCTATCCCATCCCATCCATCCCATCCCATCCATCTCACCCCATCCATCCCATCCCATCCCATCTATCCCATCCCATCCATCCCATCCCATCCATCCAGTTCCATCCTATCCTACACCTTCCCATCCCATCCATCCCATCCTATTCCCCCCACCCATTTCATCCCAGCTCGTTCCATCTAACCCCCCATCCATCCAGCTCACTGCACTCTTTCCCAGTTTTTATCAGCCTCTCCCATCCATTCACCCTGTTTCGGGTCACCACATCTATTTCATTCTGTTCAGTTCCACCCATCATTTTATGCCATACTATGCAATACCATCCTCCACACCACCCCAGCCTCTGCGGGAACCTCATTTCCCTTATGCCCATTCAGAGCCCACCCTGGTATTCCTCCTTTCCAGATCCCCAGTGCACCCTAGCGCTACTCACAGCTCCTGCATGTCCCCAGACTTCCTGTAGGCAGTGCCCCAGGGCTCGGCACTGCACTGCTTGCTCCAGGTTTTGGCACCAGAATTTAGGACCCTGTGCACAGTCTGGGGATGAGGCCGACCCGACAGCTATAGTAGGGGTCAGAACAGCCTTCATCAGGATCCAGGATACACTTGGCACTCTGCCTCCATCCCACCTCCGACTCAGTTTCATTGCAAATGGGTGACCATTACTTATGTCAATCATCTGAGTCCTCCTGCCTCAGTATCCACCAACTGACCTTGGACAAGCCCCTAGGGCCTCTCTGGGTCAGCTGACTTGTCTTTAAATTCAGGAATATGTGCAGCCTGGGGTTGTCCTAGGCACAGAACTGGCTCAGTAAGTGATGGAGATGCCCCTATGAGGGAGGCTGGGAGACTCACCTGCACCTGGGCTGCAGAGTGTGGGCAGCAGCAGCAACCACTGCAGTAGATGTGACTTGGCCATAGTTGCCTACTGCTTGGCACGCTATTTGAGGCATGCTCTTATAGTGGGGGAGAGGACCTGGGGGCCGGACTCCATGGGAGCAAGCTGACCTCAGTGTTTGCCTGGGTCTCGAGAACCCTCCAGGTGTTTGATCCCAAGCCTTCTCAGCAGGGTCATGTCTGTCACCTCCCCTGTGCTGGCTGCTGTTCCTCTTCCTTTCTCTTGCCCTCCTCCCCAGTTTCTGCAGCCTGTCTCTCTGCTCATCCCCAAGGGGGTCTTGCTTAATCCCAACTCTCTGTGCAAGGGATGTTGAGGCAGGGCTGTGAGTGGGGTGAGAATGACCCTCTCCAGCCCCACCCCAGGCTTCTCAATCTGCAGTCCTTATGCAATGCTTTTGAGAGCTTCCTGCCTGCCTCTTGATACAGGGTAAGTGTCGGAAGGGCACACCCAGGGTCCTCCTGGGGCTGCCTAACCCCCACTCCCTCCTTACTTTAATTATTCTCTGATTCTATAGACTCCAGTTGGTGCTAGTGGGAAGAAATTCAGACAAAACAAGATAATAATGCCCTGTGAGGCTGAGGCAGGGACCAGAGTCTGGGAGGATTTCTGTTTCCCCTGTGGCTCGCAGGTAGCTTTGTCCAGAAGCAGATCCTTATGTTCCCTTAACCACCCTTCCTGGGTATGAGATGGGGCTCCCCTGAGGCCGTGTCCCCACCTGACTGGGCCCCAGCGAGACAAGAGTGGGCAGGAGGATACTGCTGTGCCCCACCCATCAGAATCCCCTTCTCGGATTCCTGCCCTGGCTTTCTCCTTGGGAAGTGCTCCAGTGCTCCCAGGCTGGGGAGGGTGGGAGCTAGTCCCGCGATGAGACCAAGTAGCTGGACGCACGACGGTAAATGGTAAAGAGACATACTGGCAGTGGCTCACGGATTCATATGGTTTCTATTGGCTTCAAGGCCTAGCCACCGTGCGAACAGTTGCCACAGTGAGGATTAACCGAGGCTGTGTAAAAATGTGTGACCAGAGATCATGAGCCCAGTGGCTTGTCTAAAATCAGGGTAAGTTTGAGGCCAACTTGATCTACATAGCAAGTTCCAGACTAGACAGGGTTACAAAGGGAGCCTGTCTCACCCTTCCTGACCCCAAAGGCAGTTTGTTGTTATTTATTATTATTACTGTTGTTAGTTATTAAGACAGTATTGAGTCCAAACTGAATTCAAAGTCATTATGCAGCCAAAGCTGACCTTAAATTTCTGATTTTCTGCTTTGCCTCCTGAGTGCTGAAATTACAGGTGTGCACCATCACACCTAGTTATATCTGCGCTGCTGGGGATTGAACCCAGGTCTTTGTGCACAGTAGGCAAGCAGTCTATCCCTGAACTATATTCCCGGCTCATGAATTAGCCTCAGCCTTGGATCGATTGGTTTCCATTTTGCCTCTCGCCAGTCCTGTAAGAAGGCCACTGACACCCAGACATCCAACCCTGTTGAGAATCTACCTCTGGAACTCATCAATACCCACAATGGTCTGCAGCTCACAGAGATCCACCTGCACCTGCCTCTGCCTTCTGAATGCTGGGATTAAGGGAACACACTATTATGCCTGGCTACATGTATATTTATTGTAAATGTTTTTATGTAAGTCATAATAACCAAGACTGCCATTTACAGGTCTGGAGAGGCTCCGGTTATGAGCACTGGCCGCTCTTCCTGAGACTCTGGGTTTGATTCTCAGTACCTGCATGGTACCTTAGAACAGCTGTAACTTCAGTTCAGTGGATCTGGTGCTCTCTGTGGGCACTGCACACATATGGTTCACAGACGCACACAAGCAGGCATACAGGCAAAACAACCATACACATAAAATAAAGATATTTTAATCTAAAAATATTTCTTTTAAGGATTACCATTTAAGACAATGAAAAACAAAACTTTAGGATAGTGTGACCAGAATGTTCTTGTAATAGCTTTAGCTAATGTAAACGTGTTATATAAATTAGTCAAGGGCTAAAGGTAAAGCTGGGAGGTAATGCGTGTGCTTAGCACACACATGGTCTCAGGTTCCACCCTGAACACTAAACCAATCAAACACCACAAAAATTCAATCAAGAGACTAGAGATGTAGCTCAGTTGGTAGAATGCTTGCTTAGCATGCTTAAGACCTTGAGTTTAATTCCTGATTCCGCGAAAATTGAGTCTGGTGGCATATGCCTGTAACCCCAGCACTTGGGAAGTGGAGGCAGGAGGACCAGAAAGAAGTTCAAGGGCATCTCTGGCTACATAGTAAGCTTGTGCCAACCTGGATTACATGAGACTTGAAAGAGGGAAAGGAAGAGTATGTGTGTGTGCATGTGCGTGCGTGCGTGTGTTCGTGCGTGTGTGTGTGTGTGCATGTGTGCATGTGGGAGAGAGAGAGAGAGAGAGAGAGAGAGAGAGAGGCGCATCAGGCCGAGGCTGAGCGAGGCAGTGGGACTTGCGCAGTCCCCTTCATGTGACCCTGCTGGGAATCAAACTCAGGGTTCCTGGAAACTAAGCAAATGCTATAAACACTGACCCATCTCTCCAAACCCTAAATTGTGTCTTTTGAAAAAGATTTTTATCTTTATTGTGTGTGCATGTGTGTGTTTAAGTGTACACAGTGTGTGCACCTGTATGCATGTTTCTTCCCCAGTTACTGTCTCTTCCTTTGAGGTAGGATCTCTCCTTGAATGTAGAGTCCACATTTTCTTGGCCAGGCTGGCAGCCAGAAAGCTCCAGTGATCCTTCTGTCTCTGCCTGTCTCAGAATAGGGGCTACAGGGTTCACAAGACTCCTGTCTTGGTTATATTTACTCTGAGATCTGAACTCTGGTCCTCATGATTTTGCAGCAAGCCCTCTTAACCACTGAGCCGTTTCTGCAGCCCTCACATGTCTCTTAAGTGTATTATGTTGTTTATATGAAGTAAGAAACATAGATAAAGCACTTTTCTGCATGGGATGTTTGATGTATCTCGGGGAACATTTGCACAGCTGGGTCACAAGTTGAGCTAATCTATCTTCTTGGAGAACACCATTTCCCCCCTGTGGTAATAAAGTGGAGAGACGTCTCTGTGGTAGAGCTTGTGCAGCGCAATCCCTGCGCCACAAACCCCATGAACATAAAACGTGTCTTCTTGACGGCTTTCATGTGGCCAGGTCTGAGGTTCTGGGTATATTCTCATTGTGAAATAGATCCCCAGGACATTGTCATCTTGCAGATCTGACACTCTGTACCCATTAAATTTCTTTTTGTTCCTTTCCCAGCATCTGATAACCATCGATCTTTCTGCTTCTGTGTATTTTTTTTAGGGAGGTTTGTTTTTGTTTTTCTAGTGCTGGGGATTGCTCTGCCGGTTCTGTTTCTACGACACACACACACACATGCACACGCACACACACACACACACGTGCACACATGCATTTCACACACACGCACACACATGCACACACGCATTTCATACACACACAGACACACACACTTCACACACACAGACACACACATGCACGCACGCACACACGCACAAACACGCACGCACGCACTTCACACACACAGAGACACAGACACAAACGCATGCACACACACACACACGCACACAGATGCACACACATGCACACATGCATTTCACACACACATACATGCTTTAGTAAGTGCCCATGTAGCCCAGGCTATTCTCAAACTTTTTTTTTTTTTTTTGGTTTTTCGAGACAGGGTTTCTCTGCGGCTTTGGAGCCTGTCCTGGCACTAGCTCTGTAGACCAGGCTGGTCTCGAATTCACAGAGATCCGCCTGCCTCTGCCTCCCAAGTGCTGGGATTAAAGGCGTGAGCCACCACCGCCCGGCTATTCTCAAACTTGATATGTAGCTGAAGATGACTTTGAGCGTTGATCCTCCTGCTGGGATGGCAGGCCTGTGTCACTGTGCCCGGTTGATGTGGTACTTTTTTTTAAATTTATTTATTTATTTATGAAAGATTTCTGTTTCTTCCCCACCGCCGCCTCCCCTTTCCCTCCCCCTTCCCCAATCAAGTCCCCCTCCCTCGTCGGCCCAAAGGGCAATCAGGGTTCCCTGACCTGTGGGAAGTCCAAGGACCACCCACCTCCATCCAGGCCTAGTAAGGTGAGCATCCAAACTGCCTAGGCTCCCACAAAACCAATAGGTGCAGTAGGATCAGAAACCCAATGCCATTGTTCTTGAGTTCTCAGTAGTCCTCCTTGTCCGCTATGTTCAGCGAGTCCGGTTTTAACCCAGGCTTTTTCAGACCCAGGCCAGCTGGCCTTGGTGAGTTCCCGGTAGAACATCCCCATTGTCTCAGTGTGTGGGTGCACCCCTCGCGGTCCTGAGTTCCTTGCTCGTGCTCTCTCTCCTTCTGCTCCTGATTTGGACCTTGAGATTTCAGTCTGGTGTTCAAATGTGGGTCTCTGTCTCTGTGTCTGTCTCCTTTCATCGCCTGATGGAGGTTAATATTCAGGAGGATGCCTATATGATTTTCTTTGGGTTCTCCTTCTTATTTAGCTTCTCTAAGAACCCGAATTATAGGCTTTCATGTGGTACTTGAACACAAGGCTTTATGCATGCAAGGTGAGCACTTGACCAGCTGAGCTACACTCCCAGGCCTGTGTCTTTGAACTTGACAACTTTGGATACTGAATAGAGATGAAATGGTAAATGGGATGTTGGCTTTTTCTTATGATTTTGCTTCACTTGGCCTAATGTTCTTGTGTTCATTTATTGAGGAGCATGCATTAGGGTTTCCCTCCTTTGGAAGGCTGAAGAATATTTCTCCATGTGTACACCACATTTTTTAAAAATTTATTTATTTTATATCCTGATCACAGCCACACCTTCCTCCTCTCCTCCCACTCCCTCCCTCCTCTTCCCTCTGCTCTGCTCTTCCCTCAATCCACCTCTCAGAAACAGGCTGGGAGGCCATTAAATAAGGGGCCTTTTCTGTTTATTTTTCAGATGCTCTGTATCATGGTGAGGCTATACCCTCTACCCTTACATTCCTAGTTTGTTGAGTGTTCCTCTTAGGGGTACATACCCCCATATTCATGTGTACAGAGTCTGGAGGCTGTCTGATTTTTTTTTTTTAAATCACTTCCACACCCTCTTATAGGGTCTCGTTGACTCGGCTAGGCTGACTAGT